ATCCACCAGCCTCACGTCACATAATAGTGGGTCCGGGCGTAGGTCGAATCGAAACCTCCTGGGACCCTCCTGACGACCCATCACCAGATGCGAGCTGCCTTACCTACCTTACCTAGGTAGCCCAAGGAAGCTATCCTCATCCGACCTGACAGACTCAATGGCTGCTAAAACAAGTGTGGGCGAGGGTGCCGTACGTCCTGTCTCTGTCTCTTCTCCCAACTTCATCGTCGACTAACCATACAAGACCCCCGACCCCATTCAGAAACTCAATGCCGATGCCGAAAGCTTGCGGCGTGAAGCTGAATCCTCCCTCGAATATGCGGCCAAGCTTGAGGAAGAGAACCAGCGGCGCCAGACCCAGATTGTAGGTCGATTCCATCTTTTGTAGATGGACTCTTCTAACAGCAGAAGCTTCTCGAGCAGCAGTCGACGCCCATGACCGTCCACAACCTCACCGTCCACGGCGCACCCAACACGCGCCGCGCGTTCCTCGACCCCATCCTCTCCCCCATCGTCGCACCCTCAGCCAACGCTGCCACGACGCTCGGTGACATCTCCTACCGCCTGCAGACGGCATCCTCCAAGCTTGACCGGCTCGGCATCTTCCAGCCCGCCCCCAAGATCTTCCTCAACTCAGCCGACCAGACGAACCCCTCGTCCACACCGACAGACGTGGACATTGATATCCTGCTCGCCGAGTTGCCCCGCTACAAATTTAATGCCGGAACCGACGTCGGCAACTCGGAAGGATCAGCCTTCACGTCGCTGTTGTGGCGCAACATATTCGGTGGCGCCGAGCAGCTCTCCCTCAACGCGAGCACCGGCACGCGAACACGCTCCGCCTACACAGCCGAGCTATCCGCCCCCGTGGCCTCCGACCCCGATTGCCGCGTCGCCCTCGAGATTCTCTCGTCCGCCGCCGACAAGCCATGGGCCTCGCACGAGGAGGTCCTCCGCGGCGGCTCCCTCCGCTACCAGTGGCTCTCGCCGAACCGCGACATGCACTCGATCGAGTACACGGCCCTCTGGCGGCAGCTCACGTCGCTGGGCCCCGGCGCGAGCCCGACGGTCCGTGCCGACGCCGGCGACTCGCTCAAGTCGTCCCTGCGCCACATCTTCCGCCGCGACACGCGCAACAACCCGCAGCTGCCGCAGCGCGGCTACCACGTGCGCACGACGAGCGAACTCGCCGGCGTCGGCCCCCTCGGCGGCGACGTCGCCTTCTCCAAATCCGAGCTCGAGCTCGGCGGCGCCGTGCCCCTGAGCCAGCGCGCCCCCGCGTCTCCCTCGCGCCGGCCTCCGGCCTCGCGCCCTCTTGCCCCCTGCCGCTGGCTTCGCTTCGACCGCCGCATCGCG